ATCTAGGACTTTGTCTACACTGCAGTGTAAACCCAGGGTTCAAACTAAGGCTCAAGCCTAGTCCCCATTCTGTCTACACACAAATCATACTAACCCACAGCTCAGACCCAGGGTTCAAGCCCTATTGCTTTGCTGTGTAGATGGAGACCCCTCTGGCCTCATACTCTGGGCATCTGTCAAAGTATTCCACAATCCCACGGACTGACATTTGTGTGAACTTACCCTGCGATTCAGTGTTGGAAATTTGGAGAGTCTGGGTGAAGGGTGGAATGTATGCTCATGAACAAATTGAATAGTGATGATCCTCCAAGGAAGTGATTGAGTTTCAGGATGTAGGGAGGTTCCTCTTCAGGTCCCTTAGGATCATTGGCATATTCTCCTTTGTGGGGAAAAGCATCTGCCTTACCATTGTAGAAGCCAGGTGATAATAAAATTTAACCTAGAAAAAAAGAGATCCCAGCATAGCTGTGGTTGCATTAGGGCTTTATCAGAGCACAGGGTATTCTAGATTTTTGTGGTCAGTAAACACCTGAACTGGATATCTAGCTCCTTAATGCCTCCAAGTTCTGAAAGCCGCTTTGATGGCAAGTCGCTCCTTGTCAGAAATTTCATAACTGTGCTTGGCAGGAGTGAATTTGTGGGAATAGTACACACAGGGATGAACTTCTTGATCGAGGCCCTGTTTCTGGGACAGCACTACCCCGAGGGTGACATTGGAAGCATTGGATTCCAGGATGAATGGCTGACCTGTGTCGGAATGTGCAAGGATAGGTGCAGAGGTGAACACTGCTGTGAGGTGATTGAAGGGTTGTCACAGCAGAGAGGTTATAGGGGGCCAGGTTTTGGGAGCAGTCCCCTATAAAAATCTGTAGAAATTCTCAAACCCAATGAAGGGCTGGATTTCTTAAATGCTTTGTGGTGTTGCTAATCACAAACCAATTCCACCTTCTGGGAATCATAGAATATCAGGGTTGGAAGGGACCTCAGGAGGTCCTCTAGTACAACCCCCTGCTCAAAGCAGGACTAATCCCCAGACAGATTTTTGCCCCAGACCCCTAAATGGCCCCCTCAAGGATTGAACTCACAACCCTGGGTTTAGCAGGCTAATGCTCAAACCACTGAGCTATGGCAGGGAAGGAAAAGTAGGGCTGATTGCAGGAAGCAGCCTCAGCTGTGGGCCATGCCCCAATCAGGCCGTGGCTGGCTTAATGAGGACCCAGGTAGCCCTTATAAGAGGGCTAGGGCCAGAAGCCACAGGAGGACTCTCCCTCTAGCTCTTGAGGGAGAAGGTCCTGGCTGTCTGGGAGCTGAGAAAGAGTACCTAAAGGGGAGCAGGGCTGGGGGAAGGCTAGAGGAGCTGGGGGAGCTCCAGCCTGGAAACCCCTCAGGCTGCAGGCCTTGTTAAAGGCTGGAAAGGATACTGGGGTTGCAAAGGGGCAGCCCAAGGGTAGGCAGAGGCAGCAGGTTCAAACTCCCCTTGCCGGTGATGAGTGGCACTTACACTGCAGTCTGCCTCAGGGAATGGGGGCTAGGTGATGACTAGCAGTGGCCATAGTCTGAGGTGAGGTGGGGATAGAGCGTGGAGATTCCCCTGGGGAGGGGAGACCCAGATCTGTGGGGGTACTGCCAGGGGGCAGCACCCTGGCCTGAAAAGGGCACCAGGGTCCAGGAGGGACTCGAGCCCAGTGGCAGGTGGGACACCGGCCTGCAGAGGGCATTCTGGAGGCTGGAAACATGAATTACCTGGATGACCAGCAGGAGGCGCTGCACCAGTAGTCCTGCCCCATGAGAGACCCCATTATTTTATATGTAGAGTTGGGATTATGTTTTACAATGTGCATTACTTTGCATTTAGGTCATTCTGAATTCTGTTTGATGTTCCAGAAAAACCAATAGAGGTTTCCAAATGCTGTTTGAGTATGGGATCAAACTTGCTAACTAATTCTAAGGTTTCTACATAATTGCCCTGATTCAGGGAGTGATCCAATTTGTTATGCCCATGAAATATCAGCTCTTGTTCTCTGAGATGACATACAACATGAATTACCAGTCTGGGCAAAAATAGCCAAATTCTGACAAACCTTTTCATTGTGTTGTCTCAGAGCAATTCTCTATTGCTCATCTCACTGAAGATGAATGTGAACATGTCCAAATGTTCGTAACTGTTTACAGGCTACTAGATGTTGCCGGCTAGTTTTGTAATGTCTGGAGGCATTGTGTAGGTTGTTTAGTTTAGGTCGTTGTGTCCTGCCTTTTACCACACATACTTTTCATTGACAAAAAGTAGACTGGGCCAGCAGTATAGCTTGTTTGTTTCTGCACCCACAGATCCATTCCTATTAGTAAACCATTTCACTGAAATCCTGTTTCAGCTCTTTTTCTGCCTTTCTCGAAGTACTCACTAATTGCTGGTTTTGTTGCATAGTCTCTAGTGCAAAATTTGTTCATTAATTCATTTTTACAAAACTTCCTATCCTGATGAAGAGTTTGCACCACTAGCTCTGTTCTATGATGGATGATTCAGTTCTTGAATGCTTAGCTACTTTTTCCAAAGCACAGCCAGTTAGGAAGTCAGCTGCCCACAGAGTAATGTTGCCTAGGCAATGTGATGCAACTTTGAGCAGTGCATGCTTTGCCAGCAAAAAAGAAGACAGCCAATGTGAACAGATTGATTACATGCAAGGCTTTCATATTCTTGTAGAATAAAACTTTTTGTGTGTGTGAATTCTGGGGCATGCAGTGCATGTGTTGCATATAAACACATCACACCACTGTGTGGAGATCTCAGCTGGCTTTAGGTAGCCATTGCCAGGTTGGATTTCTGCCAGGTTTGATGCTGTTCTCTGCAGGGCTGGACCTGTCTGACCCATGCACTGATCCCACAGCAGTTCAGTGTTTCCCTTTGTGGGGAACAGGAGGAATCAGAGACTCTCTAAGCTGCTCTTGTTCTCACTCAGTTCCAAACTCAAAAGCCGGAACTGAAATAAAACTTATGCCCTTTGTCTCTGAGGGCTTGTCTTCACTACGGGCTAAACTGGTGCTGCTGTGATCGACGAAGTGGGCATTGATTTAGCGGGTCTGGTGAAGACGCAGTAAGTCGACAGGAGACCGTCTCTGGTCGACATAACATGGTATAGACCAGAGGTGGGCAAACTACGGCCCGCAGGACCCTCCTGGGATCTGAGCTCCTGGTCTGGGAGGCTAGCTCCCTCCACCACTGTTTCCCCTCCCCCGCAGCCTCAGCTCACTGCGCTGCCGGCGCAATGCTCTGGGTAGCGGGGCTGCGAGCTCTTGCCGGGCAGCGCAACTGCAGAGCCGTGGCTTGACCCAGTGCTCTGTGCTGCGCAGTGGCATAGCTGGCTCCAACCGGGCAGCGCAGCTGCCTCTCCTGGCGCTCTGGGCGGCACGGCTGTAGTGCTGCCAGCCGCCAGTGCTCTAGGCAGCGCGGTAAGGGAGCGGGGGGGGTTGGGGTGGTGGTCAGGGGGTGTGGATAGGGGTTCAGTGCGGTCAGAGGATGGGGAACAGGGGGGCTGAATGGGGGCAGGAGTCCCGGGGGGGCAGTCAGGAATGAGAGGAGGCATTGGATGGGATAGCGGGGGGCAGTTAAGGGAGGAGGGTCCAGGGGCAATCGGGGGTGGGGGGCGGGAGAAACAGGAAGGGTCAGGTAGGGGGTGGGGACCAGGCCACGCCTGGTTGTTTGGGGATGGACAGCCTCCCCTAACCGGCATTCCATACAATTTCGGAATCCCAGTGTGGCCCTCAGGCCAAAAAGTTTGCCCGCCCCTGGTTTAGACACTGTGTTAAGTCAATGTAAGTTATGTCAACTTAAGTTACGTGACTTAACTAGCGTAACTATGGCTACATCTACACTACGGGGGGGGGGGTCGATTTAAGATACGCAAATTCAGCTACGTGAATAGCATAGCTGAATTTGACGTATCGCAGCCGATTTACCCCGCTGTGAGGACGGCGGCAAAATCGACCTCTGCGGCTTCCCATTGACGGCGCTTACTCCCACCTCCACTGGTGGAGTAAGAGCGTCGATTCGGGGATCAATTGTCGCGTCCCAACGGGACGCGATAAATCGATCCCCGAGAGGTCGATTTCTACCCGCCGATTCAGGCGAGTAGTGTAAACCCAGCCTTAGATTGACTTACATTGCGTATGTAGACAAGGCCTGAGTCAAGCTGACCCCGCCTACTGAGCAATCCTGACTCATCATTGGCCCAGAAAACTGCCTCTATAAATCACTGTCAGAAATCTGAAGCCCTGTTGGCTTCTGCGGAGTTTAGTCTATTCTGTCCCCATTCCAGACTCTAAGCATGCTGGGAAATAGTTTCAGAGGACTCTGGTAGTCATTATTATTGTAGTTGATAGGGTAAGTCCTCTAGAGGCTCAGTCCAGCATTCCAGGAGCTGGCAAACGTTAGCTTTTTTCTTTTCTTTTCTTTTTATATTCTATTGATTTTTATTTTTAAAAATCCTGTTTAACTCATAATTTTTGGCACTTTGAGGCTTTTTGGTGGGACCCTTAGGTTTAATTTTCTGTGGTCATTCTGTACCTCTCTTCTGTCTTTGCCACTCTGTGCTTTGCCTCACTCCTAAAGGCTGCTGAATGCAGGCTAGATAATGGAAATGCAGGACTACCATTGGTAATGAGGCAAGTGTCATGTGGCTATAACAGGGTGCCAAATTCTTTGAATACTTCAGTGGTTTGTAGCTCAAATATTTATATTACTATAGTAAATAATTTGCCAAAGTAAAAAAGTGAATGGTACTTGAAATAAAATGTAGAGGCAGAGATTTTTTTTGTTTTGCACGTTTTGCCAAGTTCATTTACAATATTATATAATTAATAAAAACTAATAATGAACACTCATAGCTCATAAAGATCACTCCACACTAGGGTGACCAGACGTCCTGATAAAATTGGGACCGTCACGATATTTAAGTGTTTGTCCCACGTTCCGATCGATCTTCGGTCGGGACGCTGCACTCCGCTTTTTTTTTTTTTTCTCCGCCGGCAGCACTCGGCTGTTCTCAACTTCCCCCACACCCGCGCCCCGAAAACCAGAGGCTGAAGGTATGCATAGCTAAGGGAGGGTGCATAATCTCCTATGACTGCCTGCAGCATTCGGCTGTTCTCTGCTTCTCTCTTCTCTCTCCCCCCACCCCCCCACTGCCGGCAGCACTGGGCCACAGTAGGGAATTGGGAGAGGGAGCTGTTTGTGTCGTTACAAACCACACTTACATTTTTTTCCCTGCAAATAGCCCTGTAGACATTCTAGGGCTCCATCTTCACTGCAAAAATGTCTATGTCCTAAAGTGACTTTCGAGGTAAGCTCTTGAAAAGCATCTTAAGAAATGTAGTTTTGCCAGCTGATGCTGGTCTGCATGGTTAGGGTAAAACTTTTTAAAACCAATGGTTGAAACTCCAGGGATGTTTTTCAAAAATCATGAAAAAAATTTCTGTCCATACTGGCTGGCATATGCTTTCTACCTGAAACAATCTGGAAATTTCCAGAAACAGACATTTTTGTAGTGCTGACAGGACCGACAGTACATTTTTATACTATGGTTCAGGGAAACTATGCTAACAACTGTTAAACTAGTTTATAACTAGCAAAGTCCTGGTGCTATTACTCTTTCTGGACCTGATCTTATATGCAGTGGTGTAAATCAGGAGTAACTCCATGTAAGTTACAGTTACCCTGGTGTGGAAAAACTGGTATAAAACTGAGGCCAGAATCCGTCCCCCTGCATGCTTGTAAATTATCCTCTTTTCACTTGAATCTTTTATGTCACTTAAGTTTTGTCTACACTGGGATTTTTTGCCACTGTTGTAGTCACATTGATCTAGCCACATGAGTCTAAACTCCAGGTGGGGGTGATGTGAGGAATCCATGTAGACCCTGGCTTGCATTTCTGCAATTTACCCAAGTTTTTGTACCTAAAACATGCAACCACATCTCTGATCTGCATGAAACCATTAGGTTGTTTCTTTCAGCTGACAATCTGGTACCATTTCCCTCTCTGTACAAATGAACACAAGCTACTCCTATTTTTTTTCCACCCTCTTCCTTGTAAATGAAGGGATATTATAGAAGAATGCATGACTTGTTTTCAGTTTTATTTTATTGCACCTCTCCTACATCTTGAGTTTTAGTATCCTATTAAAGTGGTTAGCAATTTCTGTGGTCACATAGAAGGCAAAGCAGAGAACAATTGTTACTCTTCATTGTTATCTCCAACAGGTTTTTGTCAGTTTCTTCTAGTTTAATGTGCCACTTTCCCTTGAATATTGGGAATATAGCACATTCTGGGGTGCAATCCAGATCAGTGAGTGGTTGTGTAAGCACCTGCCCTGCAAACATGGGTGCCTCACAATGCTTTGCTGTTGTAGCACCCAACCTGGGTGGCTCACAAACAGCCAAACAACATGCAGGTCACACCCTGAGTGTCTGGTTATAGCTGCAGTCCTGATCCCGCAACTCTGACCCCAGCAGCCTATCAGCAACACACCAGCCACATTCTGGCTTCCTGCAGCTTCCTGTTACCTGCAGTATGACCCCAACATATTCCTAATCCCAAATTTTCTCCAAAAGTGTGTGCTGCGCTGTCCAGCTCTCTCCTGGACAGTTCAGATATTATAGGTCAGTTGCCCCTGTAAGGGGTCAGTATCCAACAGCCTGCTACTTTAAACAGAGTTACTAAACAGCTCAGTTTAAACACAACACTGGATTATTTTTGATTAAAAAATAAACCAAGTTTATTTAATTATGAGAGCAATTTTAAGTGAGTACAAGCATAAGGCTTTAAAGTCAGAAATGATTACAAGAGAAATAAAGATAAAATGCTTTCTAGTAACTAAAACTTAACAAACTAGACTTGGTTCAAGGTAAAATCCTTACCATATTTTCCTAGCAACAGGGCTGACCAAATTCTCACATCAGAACCCCTCCCATGGTCCAAAGGCTGGTTCCTTTGTCTTAGGTGAAAGAGAGAGAGAACCTGGGGTATTTTTGCCTCTCATTTTTATAGTCCAGTCACCCTTTGAAATGCATTTTCCTGACCCCTCAATAAAGTTCCTCCCCGTTGTGGATGGTGACATGGAGTCTCGTGGTAAGAGGTTCCAGGCTGTTGCTTACTAAAATGCAGATTCTTCTCTTCCTGCCCTCCTTCGTTGCCAAAGAATGGCCACTTGACAGGTGATTGCAAATCAACTTTGACTCCTGGCTAGAGGTGTCCGCTTGTCCTTTGTCTTTGAGAAACAGGTTTATCCCCTCCCCAGCCTTGTCTGAAACACATTTCAGTCATAATTTCAGCTTACATTAATAACTTTACATATAATGTTGCTACATGCATTTCACCATGATATTATTGGTCAGTGAGTATTCAAATGATACCTCACAAGGCATACTTTGTACACAGATTATTATAATAGTATGTAGGGTGTGAATACAGGGGGTGCATCCTGCCACAGCATGGTGTATTAAAAGATGTGTAATAAATACAAAATCATTTGCACTCTTGTCTTTTCCAAACATTCCTGCAGTAGTACAGCTATAGCCAAGAGTTTAGTATTAAACCTGATGAATAGGTAACAACATATTACATTACAAATATTTTCTAAATCATAAATGCACAGAAAACAGACATGAGAAAAACCTCTTGGTTCAAATTCTCTGCTGGTGTCAATGCTGGCAACTCCACTGACATAAATGGAGTTGTACCCATTTGTACCAGCAGAGAATTTAACTGTTTAAATCAGATATCTCTGTCAGATATGCATCCGAAGAAGTGGGCTATAGCCCACGAAAGCTTATGCTCTAATAAATTTGTTAGTCTCTAAGGTGCCACAAGTACTCCTGTTTTCTCTGTCAGGAAGTTTTTCCTAATACTCAAGATAGCTTATCCCCCATTATTCCTGGTTATATCACTTCATGTCCACTCTAAATAATTCCTCACCACTCTTGGGAGTTCACACCCTCCTGACGTTTGTAGACTGTTAAGATGTCCCTTCATTTATACATATTCAGTTCTTTAGTTTTGATTAACTCTTAAGGCTTGCCCTGCGCCATTGTTCTAGAAGGGGTACTATCAATTTCCTTGTTCTGTGGTAAAATATAATGACACTTAGCCAAATTCATCTTCAGTGACAATAGTGGATTTATATTAGGGATTATTTTGTGTTTGATTTTTTTCTATGAATTACCTCATTTAACTTTACGTATCTCATTGTGCATGTTCACATATAAAGTACCTTTCATCCTGAAATATCTCGATCTATATACATACTGATTCACCATTCAAACTCAGCTACCTCAGGGCACAGCCAATACTTTGGGGAAGGGATATTTTGGTGACAGGCAGAGGGGCAATACCTCCATGGGAACTTTAGGTGAGATTTTCAAAAGCGCTGTGTGAGCTTAACTCTACTTTATATAGGCTTCAGTGGGGCAGAGGTAGGCCAATGGTGAATGCTTTTGAAAATTGCACCGCTGATGCCAAAACGGCATGCCAATCAATTTATCTCCTTAGAAGGAGGAAAGGCAAGCCTGACCCTATTGGGATTCACACTTGCCATCTTCAGATAAGAAAATGTTCAATAACAGATTATTGTTGCAAAGTTACTAGAATCAGTATCTTCTAGATACCCTTGATGTCCACATTTGTTTCATCATCTCCCATAGTTGTTAGGCCCCAATCCTATGAACACTTTTACACATGCTTAACTTTAAGCACCTGAGTGCTTGAAGTCAATGTCATTACTCACATACTGCAAATATTTATGCATATGCTTGTATCAGGGCTTTAAAGGTGACCTACAATGGGGGTAAAATTGGTTTGTGCCTTTTTTCTTCATGCCTACAAGGGCTTGGGTACCATTTTTGAAAGCTCCTGCACTGCTGAAAAAATTACACATTGTATTTTGTAGGGTACGGCTATGTTTTAGCTTTGTTTTTACATTATAAATTCAGATCTTGCTTGCTCTAGATGACAGTGAGACAATGACATTAGTAGAAAGAAGGGACTTTTTTAGTTAAACTGTTTTTTTTTTTAAAAACAAACCAAACCAAAAAAAAACACCAGTTTTAAATCTGGTTTTGTTAACACCTATATAACTTCAGTTACTAATTACTATTTGGATAACGGATCTCTCAGTTCAAATGTAAGAGTTCTCAAGAAACATATTTTGATGCATCCAGCAGGTCCCCTAGCAGAATATGACTTGACCAGACTTGATAAGGCCACCCACCCGCTGTTCATTCCTCTCTGCCTCTTCCCCTGAGGCTGCTCAACTGCCACTCACACTTCTCTGCAGAGGAGTGAATGGCGGGTCGGGGCCGGGGGTCTAGGGGGGTAGAGTCGGGGGGGGGGGGGGGAGAGGGCCTCAGGTTGGAGTGTGGGAAGGGTCAGGGTCTGGGTGCCGGTGGCCCTCCCACTTCTAGGGAGCTTTGCTTCTGGCACTCCAAAGGCAGTGGGCCAGTGCACCTCCAAAGGGAGGTGACCCATGCCATGCAATTGCCCTCCCACATGGCTCAGCCTCCCCAAGCCTCTTATATATGCCACCCATGGATATTCCTGATATTTCTAAGTCAAAAACACAGGCTACTCCACCCCCCCCACCCCAAACCAAACATTTAAAAAGTACAGATCCTGGAATAGGGTCATTAGTGTCATTAATACATGCCTTCTCAACTTACTATTCTGTTGTTCACATATTGCTACATGGGAGGTGAGTCCTGGGGGCTCCTGGTGTGGGAAAGAGGGTCCCAGTATGGAAAAGTTTGAGAAGCAGTGACTTAGTACATATAAAGAAGGGGGGGAGGGGAGTACAGTCCCATTTTAAAATAATCCTTTCCTGGTCACCGGGAAAGAAAATGGTTAGTTGAATGAGTATGTAATTCCTTATGCCGTGTTGTCAGCTCCTTGCTAGTCACATGATTAGGGAGGAGCCAGTCTGGCTGTGATTCCAGAAACTCCAGCTCTCTCCTGAATTTCAGCTCAGAAAAACCCTCTCTGAATTGCTGCCTTTCTCACTTGCCCATCTCCTGGGGAGGAGCCGTTAGTCAGGGCTGCATCAGGAGACTGGCAGGGCTCTCCCCACCCCGCAGTCCACAGTAGCCAGAAGAGTTTTTGTATTGGCAACATTAATCACATGTGTGCATTCACACACGTGCGTGTGCATACACACAGGGAGTAAATGGGGGGGGGAGTTCAAAAATCAACAGGCAGATCAAAAACCACTAAATAAATAAGTAAATATATATAATATAATTTTAAAAATGTTTTTGGGGCCAATCTCATGAATGTTGGAGGACTGACTCATGATTTTTGAACATTTGTGGTTGTCAAGAGTGCTTATTTCACTGTAGTGTGGGCTGTCTCAAGTCACCAGTAAATACCAATGGTGAGCTCTGTGATTGGGAAGGCTCCGTGGTGGTCGTCATCTGCCCTGAGGATAACACTTGGGCTTGCATCCCAGGTCTTACAGAACAATATTAATAATAAACATTTGATAAATGTTCCTGCGTTTTTGCAGACAACCAGTTTTGAGTATTACAGCGATTGCTGCTATCATAGAGGTCTGCTGAATATCTGAACCATGCAGAATGAAGAGATTCAAAGCCCATCTCTGCTCAAAATAACACATGTTGGCCTGTCTGGTGAGTTGGTGCAAAGGAGTAGCAGGAGAGGTGCCCACTTACTCCCTTGCACCAGTGCCCCATACCACTGCTTTCTGTGTGCAGGGGAACTGCTACTCCCCCCCCCTGTGCAGGTGGGCTCAGGCCTCTCAACACATCCAGTGGCACAGTAATGCTGGCGTGTTGGGAAGCATGTGCTGTGACGTGATCACCAGGTATATCTGCACTGCAGTTAGACACCTGCAGCTGGCCCACGACAGCTGACTCTGGCTCACAGAGCTTTGGCTAAGGGGCTGTTTAATTGGGTTGTACACACTTGGTCTGCGGGACCTTCCAGAGTCAGTGCAAAACCACACAGCCCCTTGCTTTGGGCTAGACTTCACACTGACCATTTGATCCCATCCTTAGGAAATGTTTCCAAAGGCTGTTCTGTAACTTAACTTAGGCTGTGGAGTGTTTACCTGATCTCTGTCCATTTACTTCTCATTGTTCTCTCAATATGCAAACAGAGTTGTGTGTACCATAGTAACACTTCCATTACTGTTGAGAGATCTGTGGAAAACCTGATCAAGGTTGAACTTTAATCTCTGTGCATATTGAGATATACTCGGGACTATGACTCTACAGCACAAGAGGGAGAGTACCAGCCTACTAACATTTATGAGAGAAGAGATGTTATAGTTATATACCACCCACCACAAACTCCTTTGTGTTCTGTATTGCACTGAGTGTGCTGGTACTTCTTAATAAATAACTAACCAATGGGCCAAATCCTTACCTCTTTACTCAGGACTGAATAAAGTCCTCAGCCTTTGGTCTATTCTAATAAAGAAGTGGGGTTGTGCTCCTAAATCCCTCAGGCATGTTTGACAGCCCTCCATAGATAATTGGGGAGGAACACTCATTTCTTACTACTTATATTGTGGTAAGTGCCTACGAGCCCCAGAATCCCATTGTACTAGACACTATACAAACACAGAACAGTTTGCAGGTTCTCATTAATGACCTATTTTTATTTCTGTCCTCTTCTCTGTGACATTTCTCAGACCCTGTCATCCGTGCCTCAGTAAATCAGGGAGCAAGTTGAACTGACTTGCATAGTTCAGAGCCACGAGAAAAGCATTTCTAAGCTAGACGATATTGCCATTCAGAGCAAAGGGGACAGTGCTCGAAAGTCTCTGCACTTTGACCAGAATATGAAATGCAGATGCTGCCTAAATGCCCTTGAGAATATTGCTCCACTTCTTGGCATTGGCCTGCTGTACTCTGAGTGGCCTTGAATGCTCTGTATTATGTACACTTCTCCCCCAGCCAAGCAAAACTATTTGCACAGCTGGCTTTGCAGCTACTATCTCAATGACATGCAGGCTGGTGAAGAAGGCAGAGTACTTGAATACGGTGTTGCGATAGGGAATGCCCCAGAGCAGTGTTTTCAATAACAGATTACACTTCACTTTGGCTTGGTATGACAGGCTGTAAAGACCCATCTGGAAGCTGGAAGAGAGGGTTAAATCTAGGGTGACCATATTTTCTCCAAAGGAAAAGAGGACACGTTGGGCTAGCACAGGGGTTGGCAACCTTTCAGAAGTGGTGTGCCAAGTCTTCATTTATTCATTCTAATTTAAGGTTTCGTGTGCCGGTAATACATTTTAACGTTTTTAGAAGGTCTTTTTCTATAAGTCTATAATATATAACTAAACTATTGTTGTATGTAAAGTAAATAAGGTTTTTAAAATGTTTAAGAAGCTTCATTTAAAATTGAATTAAGATACAGAGCCTCACAGACCGGTGGCCAGGACCCGGGCAGCGTGAGTGCCACTGAAAATCAGCTTGCGTGCCGCCTTTGGCACGCATGCCATAGGCTGCCTACCCCTGGGCTAGCACAAGCCCTGCCCCCCTCTGCGCGTGGGGCTGGCGTTGCTGCTAGTCCCCCACGTGAGGCTGGGGCTGGCATCACTGCTCACCTGAGCCTTGCCTGCCGCCTGCCCAAGCCCTACCTCACCCACACTGCATGGGGCTGGCATCGGTGCTCGCCCCCCACATGTTCCTCCTGATCAAGTCGGCAAGAGCAAACGGGACAAATGCTCACTTTTGCCAAAAAATGTCAGGATGGGTCTTAAAGGGACTGTCCTGGCCAAAATGGGATGTGTGGTCACCCTAGTTAAACCCCTTTCCCGGGGAACAGGAAGGACTAAGGACCTTTCTCTGAGTGCAGGGCCTTGCAGCTGTGGGGCATTAGTCAATCCCCTCTAGTTGTAGGAGGGAGCTGGGGGTTGAGTCTGAGAGAAAAAAGGAGGAAGGCTGGCTTAGAAGAGAGGTGAAGAACTAGGTTTTGTTTCCCCTCCTCTCCTCTAGAGCTTGGCTGAAGTGACCTACATAATTAGACTTTTTTTTTCTTTTTTAACTTGGCTGATGAGGGCCATGCCTCCTAGCCTTGCCTTGGACTTGGCTGAAAAAAGCCCTATTGTGTCTAATTTGGGCCTTAGAGGGGTAGGACGTTCCTTATGTTTACTTTTCTATTTTACAGTAAAATGTACTATAAGTCTGCGAACTCAGCCTAGCGGTGCAGAATCCTTTCTTGTTCTAACTACCCTGCCCCACTACAATTTAAAAAAAAAAAAAGTAACTGTGGGTTACAGATGCCTTGATCTCTGCCTTCCTGTTCCATTGTTTCTGTTTTATGCCTAAGCCATTCCTAGCTAAGATGACCAGATGTCCTGTTTTTCTAGGGACAGTCCCGATATTCAGGGCTTTTTCTTATATCGGTGCCTATTACACCCCACCCACTGTCCCGATTTTCCACACTTGCTATCTGGTCACCCTATTTCTAGCAATCCCTGCTTTGGTAAAAATGATTGTTCTGTATTGTGTGGTTTGAAAGTTTAAGACTGAACATTAAAGATGGGCCTGATCTGAACACCCCTGAACTGTGAAATCAAGATCTCGATTTGTGGCTTGGGCCCATTTCTACTAAATGTTTGTAACATGGTACAGTAATTTCTGCAGCTAGAGGCTGTGTTTCTTGGCTCTGTCTGAGCTGCCTTTGGTGTTGGACTTTTTGTGGGGGAGAGGTGGCTTCATACCATGTTTGTGGCTTCTGGGGTCAGCAGAACCAGTTTGGCTCCTGGTGTGTTAGTCCTGTAGCAGTTCTAAGTGATGCCCATCTGCTTATGGCTCCAAGAGGCTGTTCTGGGCCTAGGGAATAGCGGAATGCAGATGTCACCTGGCTGTGCCCCTTTTCCCTTGGCCTGCCCACTATGCCAATGGCTATGAGGGGCAGTGGTGTACAGCCATTGCACTAGCTTTGGTCACTTTTGAAAATTTGGGCCTAAGTGGGTTGCCTAAAGTGACAGAACACAGGAAAAAACAACAACCTGCCTATCCTAGCTCCAGCAGTCCTGTGTCTTAATCAAATCCTTCCCAAATTTCCATTGATCTTAATTGTGGAGCTTCAAAGGTGCTGACAAGTTTTGGCAACCCTAGACAACTTTCCAATTTTTTAAAACTGGACACAACAGTCTCCCTGCTCACACACTCCCCTGTCCTCCCCCCCCGAGCTGGGCTGGGAGCTGAAGCAGAGCCTGTCCATGAGATGCAGGTAGGAGTTGGCCCTGACTGAGAAGGGGCTGGCGCAGGTTGATGACAAAGGTGGGGGTGTTTCTGCAGCAGGTGGGGAGCAGAGAGGAGGGTGGAAAATAGGATGCGATCCAAACACAATCCCGTGATGTGGATTGGCACCCACCTGGCTCACAGCCGTGCTGCCCCCAGCTCTCTGCAAGTGCCCTACTGTGGTCACACATGCTGCGGAGGGCACTGCCTTCCTCCCCTGGTTCTGGCACCCCTTTGGGCAGTAACCAGACTTTTGGTGTCCAGTCAGTACTTCTGACCAGATACTGTACAGGTCCCCTTTCAACTGAACTTTCTGGTCAAAATCTGGACACCAGGCAACCCTATCTACTAGACAGATCCGCAGTTACTGTGACTAGGAATTATCTTTTCTTCGCTATAGTTTTCCCATGAAAATAAACTAATGAGACTCTTCTCTTCAGGCTCTACTTTTTTACCCTTGCTGTCATCTCCTTTTTCTCATTCCTGCTTCCCCTCCTTCTCCCTAAGATAAGTACAAGTGCTGTTTGGAAACTAGGTAGTTGTATTTATTTCTCTGGTCTTGCTCTCCAAACACGAGCACAGCTCACATATATCTTATCAATTTAACAGGCTGTATCTGATGTCCTGGAAACTGGAGTGAGTGCATTATCGTAGCATTCAGAAGGCAGCACAATGAGTTGTGTGATCTGGGGGTGTGTCTACATGTGCTTACAATAAACTGGTAAGTCTGACTTTGGATGCATGTAAATAAGTCCCCAATCCACCAAAGGCTGCATATAGAATTCGGTTATGTGCAAAATGAAGCAAAAACCAAAACTAGACACATAAAATGTTAATAGACATAAAGAGTTAAATGAGAACTTGAATGGGAGTTGCAGATGCTCAGCTCACCTCATGTATCTATGGCTTAGGTAGCAGTGAATTATTACTTTTACATTCAAGAGATGCACATTTTTTTCTTTCAGATTTTTTCCTATATTTTTTTCTATTTCTTTAACTTTTGGGTGTGAGAGAATGTTAGTAACACTCCAGGATAATATTCTGTGTACAATACCTTCAGATATCCAATAACTAAGCTATGTGCTTATGCATAATTGCAGATGTTTACTCTGAGATACCAGATACCTACCAATGTACTTTCCTGTGTGAGCAGATCAAATAAACATGAATAAATAGTTTTTAAAGAGTCTTGGGGCTTGTCTACACTACAGGTTATATTGGTATAACTTATGTGAATAAGCCACTTCCATGAGTGATGTAAATTACACTGACCTATGCACTGGTGTGGACAGTGCTATGTTGGTGGGAGAGCTTCTAACACGAACACAGCTACTACCTCTCAGGGAGGTGGTTTTTAGGAGAGCTCTTGTCTGCATAGAGTGTTTTCACCAGGTGCACAACAACAGTGCAGCTGCACCAGTGCAGCTGTGCCACTCTAGCACTTCTAGTGTAGACTAGCCTTTGGTAATATGGTGGTGGTGTTATTGTAATGGATTAGGTTAAACCTTGTGAAAGGTTGGATTAAATTTTGTTGTTATGGGTTAGGTGTAACCATCTCCCTCCATTCAGGATAAATATAAAGATGTCATTGTAATCATGTGGTTGAAACAGTTAAATGGCATTCATCCCAAACACGGGCCCATATATCTCCAGCCAAAACAAAGTCCTATCCAAGGCCACTCAGGACTTTGAACTATGCGGATGGCTGCTTGTCTGGGTGGTGTTTGGGTAAAGGTTGTGTGTGTTTGTGCCCACATTGCTCACAATGCATGAACACAGAGTGGTGGCTGCAAAAGCAGGCTTGGAAATGCCTGCAAAGAAATTGTCTCCTGATATTTGATCAGTACTATGTTCAGAGAAATAGAAATTTATGTATAATCTTTGTAAACAGACAAGATTGAATTAAGGAAAACACATGGTACTATTATCAATATCTTCTCCTAACTGGAACAACCTGCAACACCCCAAATTTTGCTACCTGCTGGGGTCAAAAGTGTTTATTATTTGGATTATGGTAGCACTTAGGAACCCCAGTCTTGGGCCAGGATCCCATTGTGGTAGGTGCTGTACAAACAGAGCAAAAAGGCCCTGCTCCAAACAGAGTACTGCCCTAACTTGTGCCTGATTGCCTATGATTAAGATTCTGTCACAGGTATTTTTTTAGTAAAAGTCAGGGACAGATTGCGGGCAATAAATAAAAATTCACAGAAGCCTGTGACCTGTGCCTGACTTACTAAAAATACTTGGGGTGAGAGGGAAGGGGGAAAAGAGTGCTTCCGGGGCTTGCAGCTGCTCCAGCCCCAAGGGGACTGACTCTACCCCAGGCACTACTTTGGTGGCTGGACACCACTACTCTGGCAGGCCTGGGGCCGGCCACCAGTCAGCTGTTCCAGGACCACTGCTCCAGCAGCTCTGGGGCTGAGAGTTGCTCCACCTCTGCCCCCAGAAGTCACGGAAGTCCTGAAAAGTTACAGAATCCATGACCTCCATGACAGAATCGTATCCTTGCCCAAGACCTGTATGGGCCTTGCAGCAGCTGGAAAATACCCAGGACTGCATCCCTACACTTCATGCTGGAATGCCCTCTGCCTGCCCCTGCAACTTACCCTGCACTGCAGGCTCTTGATGATGGAAAGCAGAGTTGGCTGTTCACCTGGTGAGGAGGGCCTTCTGTGCAGGGAGTGTTCTCTGGAGGTACTGCAGGTGAACATGAATGAGGTCCCATGGGAGCACTCCTGGTAGGAAGTTCTGTGTCTGGTAATAAATGTCTGTGGGATCAGATCCTTGCTGAGTATCAATAAATGGTTTGCAGTGGTTATGGGATATAACTTACATCATGTACATTTCATGTTACTAAAGTGTCATGTTAAATAAAACATTAGCCCCACTGAAAAGGGCACTGGATCTTAATTTCATGCTAAGGACAAGAAAACAAATGAGTGTTTAGAGCATGCAAGGAATGCAGAATCAGCCTGATCTGTTTCAGTCCTACCTCCTAGGATGTCTGGACCTGAATCTGCTCTCACTTACACCCGTTTTACACTGGTATGACCAGTGATTACAGTAGATTGGAAACAGGCTGGGGGACCCTCAGTGTACCAGCCGAGGAGCAGGTGTGCCTGTGGAGGGACCATTGCTTACTCAAGCCAAGGGGAGGAGGAGGAGCAGTGCATTCCCCTCTTCCTCTCTTACATGAACCTCTGGGGGTAACTTCATGAACTTCAGTATAGTTACTCCTGATGTGAGAGCAGAATCAGAATAGACCTTTTTGCGGTACTACTGGTAATTTGGCTCACATTACACTTCCGCTTCTGAGTTTCCTTATGGTTCCTGTAACCTGGCATATTCTGAAATTTCCCAATGGCTTGGGAAGGTCCCGTATAGTGTGACGTAGTAAGGAACTCAAAGACAAGGCCATTGTGGAGAAGTTCAATGAATTCTTTGCATCAATCTTCACTGCAGAGGGTGTGAGGGAGGGAGATTCCCACACCCGAGCCATTCTTTTTAGGTGACACATCTGAGGAACTGCCCCAGATTGAGGTTTCCATGGAGGAGATTTTGAAACAAATTGATCAATTAAACAGTAATAAGTCCCCAAAGCCAGATGGTATTTACCCAAGAGTTCTGAAGAAACTCAGATATGAAATTAGTATGTTACCTATTGCTTAAATAAGCCCCCATACCAGATGACTGGAGGACGGCTAATGTAATGCTGATTTTTAAAATCCCGAGGCGACGCTGGCAATTGCAGGCCAGTAGGCCTAATTTCAGTACCTGGCAAATAGGTTGGAACTATAGTAAAGCACAGAATTATCAGACACATAGATGAACATGATACATTGGGGCAGAGGCAACCTGGCTTTTGTAAAAGGAAATCATGCCTCACCAATCTATTAGAATTCTTTGAGGGAGTCAGCACACATGTGGACAAGGGTGATCCAGTGGCTATTGTATGCTTGGACTTTCAGAAAGCCTCTGACAAGGTCCCACACAAAAGGCTCTTAAACAAAGTAAGCAGTCATGTGTTAAGAGGGTAGGTCCTCTCATGGATCAGTAACTGTTTAAAATATAGGAAACCAAGAATAAGAATAAATGGTCAGCTTTCACAATGGAAAGAGATAAATAGCAGTGGCCCACAAGGATATGTACTAGGACCAGTGATGTTCAACATAATCATAAATGATCTGGAAAAGGGGGAAAAATAGTGAGGTGACAAAGTTTGCAGATTTTACTAAATTACTCAAGATGGTTAAGTCCAAAACTGGCTGGGAAGAGTTACAAAGGGATCTCACAAAACTGGGTGATTGGGCAACAAAAATGGCAAATGAAATTCAATATTGATAGATGTGAAGTAATGTACATCGGAAAACATAATCCCAACTATACATACAAAATGATGTGTTCTAAATTAGCTGTTACCACTCAAGAAAGAGATCTTGGAGTCATTGTGGATAACATCTGCTCAATGTGCAGTGGCAATCAAAAAAGCAAACAGAAGTTTAGGAAACATTAAGAAAGGGATATCATAAGGCCACTATATTAAATCCAAGGTACACCACACCTTGAATACTGCATGCATTTCTGGTCACCCACTCATCAAAAAAGATATTAAAATTGGAAAAAGTACAGAGAACGGCAACAAAAATGCTTAGGGATATGGAACAACTTCTATATTGGGAGAGGTTAAAAAGACAGACTGTTCAGCTTAGCAAAGAGACGACTAAGGAGGGCTTTGAGAGAGGTGTATAAAATCATGAATAGCGTGGAGAAAGTGATTAAGGAAGTGTTATTTACCCCTTCACATAACACAAGAACCAGGAGTCACTCAATGAAATGAACAGGCAGCAGGTTTCAAACAAATAAGGAAGAACTTCAAATAATGCACAGTCAACCTGTGGAACTGGCTGCCAGTAGATGTTGTGAAGGCCAAAAGTATAACCAGGTTCAAAAAAGAATTAGATAATTTCATGGAGGATAGGTCCATCAATGGCTCTTAGCCAAGATGGTCAGGGACACAATCCTATGCTCTTGATGTCCCTATACCTCTGACTGCCAGATGCTAGGCCTGAATAAAAGGGGATGGATTACTTGATAATTGCCCTGTTCTGGTCCTTCCCTCTGAAGCATCTGGCACCAGCTGCTGTCAGAAGACTGGATAATGGGCTAGGTGGACCATTGGTCTGACCCAGCATAGCCATCCTTATGTTCTTATGGTTTGGCACCAATGTGTGTAATCCTTGCTGCTTGTTTTCAGTTATCTTTGAAGTGTCAGATTGTTGTTTTTAGTGGCAAATTGGTAAATATCTACATCAATGTGACTCCCACAATAATTGTTTTGTTTTTTATGTGTTTACTCCAAAAAAGATGGCTACAGAAATACTCAGTACAATTCATGCTTGTCTCATACCATTAATGCTAGCTTTGCTCCAGTATGGATTCTCTGGCCAGTGTAGATGGACTTTGTTTTCTTGAGATCAATGTTATAATATTGTGCCATAATCTATGTAGGCAGTAGTGTAGCACAGCTTAGCTTACCCAGTTTTTGTACCTCTCAAAGTTCCCAGATTGTGTGGAACAGCACACATTTCAGCAAGCTTGGTGGAGATGTCCCATCACCCTGCTACACACCCAAGCTATCCTGCTTCTTGCTCACCAGCCACCTGACACATACAGCTGGTTTCTGAAACCATTTTGCTATGTGTTCAACTTGACAGACCATAT